ACATAAAAATAACATACAAACACAATTCAAGAACATTTAACCATCTATTGTAGTGTTCTTTTTAAAATACATAAAGGTAAACAGAAATATCTTTATATAAATTATGCTTAACAATCTGTATACACTGTAAAACAACTGTTAAAATTCACACTAAGATACTAGTGCAAGCAGTGTACAAAAGTGCAAACAAGGTTAGTGATGAAAACTTATCACCACCTTACCACTTCGACATACTCTGCGTTCAGCCAAACACTGAAGGCCTCACCATGGAAAACGCTTTGATCACTTATAAAACCACCGACTACATTCACCCTCGTGCTCTCGCCTCAGTATGGCAGCTGATTGCACTCAGGTTGGGAGCAGCACCAGGGAATACAGAAACCTGTGTAGAGTAGGCCATTCTGATGTGAATCCTTATACTTGACAATGAAAACAATTCCAAAGACAACTTGTATGTCAAAACTGTAGAACTGTCACCCCTTTTTACACTCCCCCCATTTTTGATATGTATTTTTGCCCTCCAAATTTTTTAAACTAAAATTAAACCTAATCCTCCTCCCCTATTTAAAATGCATGCTGAAGAATTCATCCACGCCAATGCAGCTTTTCCAAAAATTAATTCTGTGTAAAATCACACAAAAGCCTTTCCCATTTTTGCCCTAAAATCTATTTTGGGTGGGGGCACTTAAAAAACAAAGTTGACTTTGGATAAGTTTGTTTACTTGACTTTGGATTCTACTTAAAAGTGTGGTCAAAGACCTGAATAATCAACCAGTGGTATTACATATATTAGCTACTCAATGTTCTAAATTCTGGGAACAAAAATTAGTTGGTTCCGAATTGCATCTTCAATGGACTGTGGATTTCCCTTCATCCTCGGGAGTCTTTGTATCCAGGTGTGGAGTAGAGGTATGTGAGGGGGGATGGTTCAGGAGTAGTAACTTGGTTTTAACAAAATCCCGATCACTTTACACAGAGGCACAGTCCTCTATTACAAGAGCTTGCTCATTTTCATTTTATTTTTTTTTATTACAAAGCACTGATCTACTTTTCAACAGGACAATGATGGAAATAACCAGAAGCATCAATGTGTAGCTTTGAGAACTTAGTCCTTCACTGAAAATAAATTGTTTTCTGAATCCTCTTGTTTATAGCAAAATATTAAAGGTTTATAGAAAGCCTTTAATTTCCTATTAATTTTAAATTAAGGAATTTGTACTTGCTAGTCTCTATTTTCATGCTTTCTTGGAGATTTTTCTTCACTAACTTTTATATATGTTTAAAATAATACAAACATTACCCTCTAAAGAAAATGAAAACAAGATACTTTGAAAGACTTTCCTTTAAATTAGCTATTCTCGGTGTACTATGGTCAAATTTATTTGGCAATAAGTCCTTGCAAACTTCAGACACGTAAGTGACTAACAAGACTGAAATGCTACCCTGGCTGGGTAGCTCAGTTGGCTAGAGCATCATCCCAATACACCAAGGTTGTGGGTTCAATCCCAGGTCAGGGCACATACAAGAATCAACCTATGAATGCATAAATGAGTTGAACAACAAATGGATGTTTCTCTCTCCCCTTCCTCTCTAAAATAATAAAGACTGAAATGCCACATTGAGTCACATACCAAATACAGTTTTAGGAAATGTGAACCTTTCCCTGGAATCTCTCAAATCATGTCAACTAAGAAGTATACTGTTTCTGATGGTGGTACTTGTGAAAATGCTGGTTGGTTTGTTTGTTTGTTTTGAGATATTTTTTAGAGGGAGAGCAAATGAGAGGGGGAGAGAGATACATCAGCTGCCTCCTGCACACCCCACATCGGGGATCGAACCTGAATCCAGGCATGTGCCCTGATCGGGATTTGATGCATGGGGTGATGCCCAACTGAGTCACACAGGCCAGGATGAAAATGCTGGGTTTTGAATGTGGTTGATCAAATCATTTTGCAGAAGGCAAGAGTAACTGTGTATTATCGCAGCTATTACCCTATTTAATGATTTATAAGTAGTTTCTGTACTGGAAAACACTATAGAGAAGGGTAAGCCAGTTGAAAACTGGAAAAGAAACAATGTTATTGTCTATGTACACAGGCACACAAAACTAAAATTTAGATCTATGCAGGCAACATCTGAATTCATACATCTTTGGCACTCAAAGATACTGAGTTAACTAAGCAATAGTAAAGAATATTTTTTCATATCCAGTAGTCTCCCCTCTTATCCTTGGTTTTATTTAGACTCCTCTTATCCTTGGTTTTATTTTCTGAGGCTTCAGTTACCTGTGGTCAACCATGGTCTAAAAGTATTATATAGGAAATTCCAGGGGAAAAAAATCATAAATTTCAAATTTTGTGCCATTCTGAGTGAAGCAGTGTGATGAAATCTCATGTCGTCCCGCTCTGTTCCACCCAAGACATGAATCATTCTTTGTCCAGTGTATCACTCTGCATACACTACCTGCCTGTTAGTCACTAGTCTCTTAGTAACTGGCTTGACTATGTATCACAGTGCTTATGTTCAAGGAACCCTTATTTTACTTAATAATGAGCCCAAAGCACAAGAGTAAGGATGCTGGCATTTCAGATATGCCAAAGAGAAGCCATAAAGTGCTTCCTTAAAGTGAAAATGTATGTATATAGAGGACAAAACATAGTATATATGGCTCAGGACTACCTGGGATTTCAGGCATCCACTGGGGGTCTTGGAACTTCTCTCCTGTGGATAAGGGGGGTACTACTGTACTTTAGGAAATGTCTGTGCCCCAATTTAAAAACTGCTGTACTCTCCATTCTAAAAATTTACTGAGATAAAAATAATAGAAATAAAAATTCACTAATATAAAGATAAGCTGAAATCTATCAATTTAACCAGTCACCCAAAAGTATAACTAACAACAGTCATTGAAGTAGGTATGGGGTTAAAGAATCTTTAGAAATATAAAAGTGGGCTAACACTTTGTATTTTTAGAGTTTTGGAATTAAGATTTTAAAACACCTTTTGGACATCCTGATTTATATGGAACCGAATCTTGTATATAACAGTGTTAACAATTACATTTTCATACCTTACAGTGAGAGGTGCAAAGTTAATCTATATTCTTAATAGGACCATTTACACTCAACATACTTCCCAGGTGCACACACTCACGCAGGCACATACAGGGTATATGTTTTCGCAAGTGCTTCTACTGCTTCTTGCCATCTCTTGAAGGGAGCAGGGACTCGGTGTGTGTGCTCCGAGGCGCTCTCAGAGCTGGAGTATGCCCAGTGGCTGGGGAACTCTGCAGCCCACGTCCCTGGCACTGGGAAGGAAGCTGGTTGCTGCTAAGTGCAGCTTCTTTCTAGAGGTTCAGGCCACATGAATCTTACGTCATTGGGAAAATATCCACAGTTTAGATGTGGTCCACGAAGTGACTTTGTTTCTTTGATCCCAGTGTCAGAACTAGAATAAGAATTCTGGAACGAGATATTGTGTACCAAAAAAAAACATTTTTCCCCTTTAAAGAAACCAATAAGCTTTTTTCTTTATACCAATTTATGAGACAAATAATTAACTTCTCAAGTATCACACTAGATATTAGGGAATACTTGAACTGAAGAAAGATACCATCAACAAGAGGCAGTTACTTTTAATAAGGCTTAGTTCTGTTAGTCATGCCGTCAGAAGTGAGGACTTTAAACAGCTGGCAAAATAAACCAACAGGCAGAAATGTTATTTTCTACTTTTCCCATGGTACTACTGATGTTTCTAAGCAGGGAAGAAGCTTTTATTTTCATTTGGAAGGAAGCTGAAAGTGAAATAGAACAGCCAAATCACTAAAACCCAATGTTATGTTAAGAAATGGCCTTGCTGGTTTAGCTCACTGGTCGTTCCTTCCAGTCATACTCCTCCTCCTTACCTGCCTCATGTGTTAACATTCCCGATGAAAGGCTGTGGTGACTGATTTGGACAACAGCTAGAGAAAACACTAATTTTAATATTTAAATTATTCTTGATGGAGCCAGAGCAATCTATTTTCAATGGAATTGGTTAAATATACTATAAAATCTCGGTTTATAACCAAGAGAGAAATCTTAAGCTTGAGAGTCTTTAAATATATGTATTTGGCACTTATCTTTCATCTTATTTTACTAATTAGTGGAACCTCAAATGGAAAAAAAAACACTCAATGTCTTAGGAAATTAAAATGTTTTTAAAAACTAACCAAAATTTTGTTAGTGAGTTTATCAGTGAGGTTTGCGGACACTATCACATGGCAAGTATTACATCTAAAAGTAAAAGCCTTTATGCTGTAATGTAACAGCTGGCTGAGAGCAACTAAGGAAAAGAAAAAAAGCATACACTTTCTTTCCAAGAAATAAAGTATGACAAAGAATGCAAAAGAGCTCTGGGACAGGAGCAATATCTCCACAATTTCAATGACAACTGGAGCAGAACAGGCTTTCTTTTCCCGCAGATTCACGGGTCCCTGCAATGAACTGCACAAGACCCTATTTGTCACTTGCTCTGGGAAGTGCCATTACGTATCAAGAGCCTGGGGAGTACCTCTAAATGCGGGGAGGCTGGTGCCTGTCACTACCTTTGGTGACCAGGCACAGATTACCAAACCAGGCATCAATAAGATTGGAGCACTTGAGAATTAGACAACTGGAATGGACCTATAGGGGCCTAGCAAACCAAAAACCAACCTGTGGTGTACCGGAAGATGTGCTTTTCTTTAGAAGGCCAATCCCATAGGGACTAGGACACGGACCCTATCAACACTGGGAATGGTAGTGTTCCTGATTAAAATGCACAGGATTCAGAGATAAAGTGGTATAAAGTAATCAAACACAACTTGTCTCCTGGTAAATGCGAAAGTCTCTAGGAACTGAAACATTATTCTAAATATTCTGAAGCAATCTCCTTTCCCAACAACCACCTCATGTGTATAATATAAATATTCCATTTCAGAGCATACTAGCTAGATAAGACACATTAAAATGAAACATTTGTCCAACAAAGATGCCAAACATAAGGGTCTATTTTATTGCATGACGTTTGCATAAGAAAAAATATTATTGAAACCTGTAAGGCATCATGCAATCATCAATAAGCTAATTATTAACTGTATACTTAAGATAGGTGGAGATATAATCTAAAATTTAAAAACTAGTTCCAAAAGTACATAAAAAATTTAACATGATGAGCTTTTAATTATAGTTTATATTTGTCGTTTCATATTGTTAAAAAGTGCTTCAAATGTACTGCTGAAAAGTTGCTGTTTATAAATGGCGCTGGGGGTCATGTCAGATTACAAACGGTAAAAACTAATTATCTTCATGGAATTAGAAAGCTAACATTGTGATATTCAAACTTACTTGAATCAGTTTTCAATTGTCACTCAAATTAAGTCGATATAGTATTAATAATCTAAAAAATATCTGTTTTCTAACCAACAAAAGTCTATTGAATTCAAGTTATGCATGTTCAACAATCAAATCTCTGAGTAGGCCTGAATGGCAAGACCTGGACCTGAGGCAGGTTGGTGGTGTTAGTCAATGTACTGAGCCATCCAGCGGAAGCCTTCTCCATAACCTTGCCTTTTGAGCACACTGCACATAAAAACTTCCAGTGGCCGGGCATTCAGTTCTTTCAGAGATACATTGCCCTAGGAGAGAAGACAAACATTATGCTGGATGGAACCTTTGTGGAATAAAAGCCCCACTCCCCAGCAGAATTATAGCTTATATATCGTATAACAAAAGGTGACTGGATAAAGCCACTTTAGGACCAAATGGGAAAAGGTGGGCTTGTGAGGCATACAAGAATGAAAATCATCTTTGACTGAGAAAAATTTCAAGTTACCTCAACTGGCTTCACAAACATTAAGGATGAATATTCTCTATGTAGGTTTATGACTAAACAAGGCATTTCCTAAAATTAGTATGTAATTGAGTTATTAAAAAGACACAGAAACAAACCAAAGTCTACCTTGTGTAACATAAGAGTTTCCTTCCATAGCCTACAGTATTTCTAAAGTCAGATTATATGTAAACCAAGGAAATTTTGTTTGTAAACTCTGGAAAAAAATTTTTTTTCATTTGAAGATCTAATTGACTTTATTAAGTAGTCCATGAATCTAGCAGCATCCAATCTAGCAACTAGAAGAGTGCCCCCAACTCTGGGATTTTTTAATATTAAGGCCCCTCTCCTGACAAATCCTAGTGGAAATGAATGCAAAAATAATGCATCTTAAAGTTTATTAAGTATGTGTTCAGAAAACCCAAAACACTCCTATGCCCAAGTTTACATTTTATTTTTATCTCTGGTGAACTCAGGGCCTACACACTAAACTGGGGGCCTAAATACACTTCTGGTATGCTTAAACATTCAAGTATATTATTTGGTGGTTAATTTTGAAAATTTATTTAGCTCAGCTGGTGTGGCTCAGTGGTTGAGCATCAACCTCTAAACCAGGAGGTCATGGCTCGATTCCCAGTCAGGGCACATGCCTGGGTTGCAGGCTCAATCCCTAGTGTGAGGCATACAGGAGGCAGCCAATCAATGATTCTTTCTCATCACTAATGTTTCTATCTCTCTCTCCCTCTCCCTTCCTCTCTGAAATCAATAAAAATCTAAATTAAATTAAAAATAAAACTTTAAAAGGTTTGATTTAGTCTCCCATAAGCATGAGCTTTGACATTTTTGTTATCACCAAGAAAAGGTCACATTCAGTGGCATAAAGAAAACAGTGAGGGCATTAAAAAAAAAATCCCAAAATGTATAAATGACAGGTATTTTTATTTAAGTATAGGTGATATACAATATTATATTTGTTATATTAGTTTCAGGTGTACAATATAGTGATTCAACATTTTTATACCCTACAATGTGATCACCCCACTAATTCTATTTTTTTTTTAAATATAATGATTTCAGAGAGGAAGGGAGAGTGAAAGAGAAATAGAAACATCAATGATGAGAGAGAATCATTGATTGGCTGCCTCCTGCAAACCCCCTACTGGGGATCGAGCCTGCAACCCTGGCATGTGCCCTTGACCAGAATTGAACCTGGGACCCTTCAGTCCACAGGCCATTGCTCTGTCCACTGAGCCAAACCAGCAAGGGCACACCACTAATTCTAGTAATCATCTGTCACCATGCAAACTTATCACAATATTATTGACTATATTCCCCTTCAGCTTTTCATCCATCCCTTCACCCTCCACCCCTCTGGCAACCATCCCTTTGGTGTTATTTCTATAAGTCTGTTTTTGCATTATTCTGTTTGTTTTAAATTCTACATATAAGTGAAACCATACAGTATTTGTCTTTCTCGGTCTGACTTATTTCATTTAGCATAATGTCCTCTAGGATCATCCATGTTGTCACAAATGGCAAAATTTCTTTTTTAGCGTCACACACACACACACACACACACACACACACACACACATCTCCTTTATCTACTCACCTACAGACAGACACCTACGTTGCTTCTATATCTTGGCTATTGTAAACAATGCTGCACTGAAAATAGGGGTGCATATGTCTTTTCAAATTAATATTTTCAATTTCTTCAGATAAATACCCAGGGGTGGAATTGCTGGGTCATATTGTAGTTCTATTTTTAATATTTTGAGGAAACTCTATACTGTTTTCAACAGTGACTATACCAATTTAAAATCCAACCAACAGTGCCAAGCGTTCCCTTTTCTCCACATCCTTGCCAACACATTTGATAACTTTTTTATAACAGCCATTCTGACTAGTGTTCAATGTGTTTTGTTTTTTTATAATTCTTTTTTGTTGAAAGTATTACATGTCCCCCTTTTTTCCTCCATTGATCCCCCCAAGCCCGCTTCAATGTGGTTTTGATTTGTATTTCCCTGATGATTAGTGATGCTGAGAAAATGCTAGTTTTTAAGGGGGAAAAAAAGGGCTTGAGTAGTTGGATGATAGTAATGTAAAAAGACATTTCGTTATACACATGAAACTAGTATAATGTTATATGTCAATTATACCTTAACTTTTTTTTAAAAAAAGGATCCAGATTGTACCAATTAGGCTAGTAACATGATTACTGTTAGGGGTAGTGTTGAAATAAACTATTTCAGAACATAAAAATATACTGTTGAATGAAGTATTCATACTTGTCAAACTTTTTTTTTTTTTTTACCTTTCCTGTTGTCTGACCATATAAACCAAACATCTCTCGTAATCTCTCTTCACTGATGGCTTCAGGTCTGTCGATCTTATTCCCAAAAATCAGTATAGGCACATTAGCAATGGTTTCATCTGTCATTAGTGACTGAAAAAAACATGAAAGCAAAATGAAACACAGATGTTGATATAAAACCATCCGAAGGGCTTATTTTGACAAGATACCAAATGGGTATCAAGGACTTGTTCTCTGTCATAACATGTCAGTTTTGCTAACTTTCTTTGGCAAACTTTTCCTCAGTTTTAAGTGAGCTCAATGAACCGTTCACCTGAATCCTGTCTTCCTAAGGCTCCTTCTGTGATGCTCACACTGCTCACTCTGAATCAGTGAGGTACAGCAACCAGAGCCAACGCCTTGGAAATGGGCAGACTGATTTCATTTCCAGTTCTGCTGCTTCCAAGCTGTGAGATCTTGGACAAATAGGTCTCACTGAAGTTCACACAAAATGGAGTAGTAGCACCTACGTTATGGAATGGATTTGAGAATTTAATGAGGTGATATGTATAGTGTGGCATAAGGTAGGAACTCAGTAATTCCCTAACCCTGTTGCATGACCACAGAACCTAACTGGACTTTTTCACATGAACAAGTATTTCCTTGCCTGTTCTGGGCAGAGGCGTAGGCATTCAACCTTCAAATCATGGACCTGCTCTCTCTGGGGCCCCAGATCTAGCACTGGCCTTGCTTGCTACTCCTGAGCCCCTTTAAGAAGCATCTGATCTAGGGGAGGTGAGGGGAAGTAGCTATCCATGGCCCTGCTCATTCCTGGGAGTGGTGACAAAGATGGTATGTTATACCATTTCCAGGTTCTGGCCAACTCCATCAGAAACTGGCAGCCGAGGATGATCGGGGATTCAAGACCAAGCCACTCCAGGAATGTAGCAAACATGAGATATACTACAAGGACACACTGCCCAGAGTTAGCTCAAGTCTTCAGGAAGGAAGTCTGCGTTAGTACTTCCTCAATAGCTACTCCCTCTGCATTCTAAATAATCGCTGAGCTCCACAAATTGCCAGGAGTTACATCAGAGACTACAGAAAAGTTGCATTCTAATACCTAGATCTCCAACCTATTTCCTCAGGCTTACTAGTAATTCAACTGTTTAGTTTTAATTATTTAACTTACATCAAGTTCTTCTTTTGATTCTAACAGCCTTTCATGGTCTGCACAATCCACCAGAAATACAATGCCATTGATAGCAGGAAGGTAGTTTTTCCATACTCTTCGAGCTAACAAAAACAATCAGAAGTTAGATTTTATTTGCTGGTCAAACCTAGAAGATGGTTTGATGAGAGTCCAATAAGATATCAAGTGTAATCATCCCTTAGCTGCTGCTACTCCATATATACTCAAGTTAATCTTTTACCTAGTGTTGCCAAATCTTTCCAGAAGAAATTTCAGGCTTTCCTTGATTGTGGGCAAGTCAATACTTTGCCCCAATTTTCCCATGTTTTATAAGTAGTATTCATATCTGCTACCAATGATGGATAATGATGCTTGTTAAGTTCATTGGAGAACTGCTATTATTTTCATATGCAGTATTCATTTTTTTACATTTCTAGTTTATCAGTTTTTTTGTTTTATTTTTTTGCTGGGGATAAATTTGGAATCAGTGGCAGAAAAAATTAGTACTAGGTACAGACTTAAGTTAAAATAATAAAAGCATACTTACTGTTCTACTCATAACAGAAAAAAACTAAAGTCTATAAAAACATATGGTAACTTTTTTCCATGACATTCTTTTCTAAAGAAAAGAGTTTTTGGAATGCCCCAGAGAAAAATACCTTTTTTCTCTGACTTCAGTTTTATGACATATCTTAAAAACAATATAGAAATGAAGTCTCAGATGAGCTCCATTAGGTTTTAACTCCCTCTAATCATTATATTCCAGAAATTACTTTATGTGTATTTCAAACAATTATGTCTCAAATGTGTTTTCTTTTTTTTTAATCCTCACCCAAGGATATTTTTCCATTGATTATTTTTAGAGAGAGTGGAAGAGAGAGGGAAAGACAGAGAGAAATATCGATGTCAGAGAAACACATAGATTGGTTACCTCCTGCACGCACCCTGGCCAGGGCTGGGGCCAGGGAGGAGCCTGCAACCAAGGTATATGCCCTTGACAGGAATCGAATCTGGGAGCCTTTGGTCTGCAGGCCGATGCTCTATCCACTGAGTCAAACCAGCTAGGGCTCAAATGTGCTTTCACTAGTCACAGCCACTTAAAATCTTTTCAACTATCTGTCATATGAGCTTTTTATAATGCTCACCAACTTTGTACTATTCTTTATTTACAAATTATTATGTGCTGGGTACTGCCAAGTCCTTCTGGGAATATAAAAAATGGACAGGATAAAAAAAAAAAGTGAACAGATTTTAGTCCCAGAAAGTTTAGGAGAAGAGATAAGGCAGTCTTTTCAAACTTGCAGACATGTACACAAATGCCCTACGTGCTGTGGAAGTACAGTTGAGAGTACTTCCAGCTGCAAGCAGCTCCTTGGGGAAGGTAGCAGCACTCACCCTGGGCCCTGAATGTGGGTCATGCATGTGCAGATGGAATGGCATGAGCAAAAGCACAGAGTGGGAGAAAACCAAGAGGGTTTGGTTTGGTTAGAATAAAGAGAATGGGAAGGGGAACATTGGGAAATAAAGACTTGAAAAGTAAACTGGAACCAGATCATAGAAATCCCAAATGCCAGATCAACAAGTTTGGCCTTTAATTTATAGGTAATGAGTTAGCCACTGAAGGCTTTTCATACAAAGCAGTAACATATTCATAACATGATTATGACAATAAGTGAGAGATGGATTAGGGCAGAGAGAAAATGGAGGCTCAATTTTACTCATTTGCTTTACCACCAAAAGCAATTCAAACTTCAATTGATCAGGAGTATCATAAAAATCACCCTTTGCTTTTAAAGCATTTATCGAGGGGTAATAATTCCTAAATTTTAAGTCTACTCTGGCTTTCCTTGAGTAGAATGAGATTTCATGCACTGGAACATAATGGTCATGTTTTTATTAAGTTAAAATAAAGCTTCCACAGGAGTAATAGAATCGTACCTTGAACATGTCCTCCCAGATCAAACGTTGTAAAGGTCATGCCAGCAATGGTTAGTTCTTCTGAAGCTAAACAATAATAAAAAGTATTTTTACAACATGAAAATCAGAAATCCATTCATGGTATATATTGCTAATTTTGATTTACTTTAACTGAAAAAAAGTCAAACATTTAGGAACTGATAAAATAATTCTTTATTGTAATTAGATATATTCCAATGCATATTGACGGTATAACATAAGTAATGGTAATATTCAATTCTACCCACCACAAAACCATCACTTATTTATTTTTCCTTCTCTATTTCTCCTGCTAAATGTTAATCTATTCAAGCAATTATTTTTTGTGAATTCTTCCAACCTAATAATTTCCTGCAAGTCAGCTTAAATGATACAGGTGAAATAAGCAATTTTCTCTTATGGCTGTCAAATTTTATATGAGACAGTCTTTAATGACAAACACAAATATAATAAAAAAAATTTGGCCATTATTTCTTCAAATATGTTTTCTGCTCCCTACCTTCCCCTTCTGGGACTTCAATTATAGGTCTCCTAGACAGCTTAATATTGTCCCAGAAGTCACTGAGGCTCTGTTCCTTGTTTTTCAGTCATTTTTTCCTCTGTGCTTCATTTTATAGTTTCTATTGCATTGACTTAAGTTCACTGGTCTTTCTTTCTGCACTACTGGCACTGTCTAATTTGCTATTAAGCCTATCCAGTGAAAATTTCATTTCAGATATTCTATTTTTATTTCTAGAAGTTCCATTTGGTTCTTTTAAAATATATATATTTTTTTGCCCTAACCGGTTTGGCTCAGTGGATAGAGCGTCGGCCTGCGGACTCAAGGGTCCCAGGTTCGATTTCAGTCAAGGGCATGTACCTTGGTTGCAGGCACATCCCCAGTAGGGGGTGTGCAGGAGGCAGCTGATCGATGTTTCTCTCTCATCAATGTTTCTAACTCTCTATCCCTCTCCCTTCCTCTCTGTAAAAAATCAATAAAATATATTTAAAAAAGAAGAAGAATTCAGTTAGGACATCCTGTCCATATTTTATTTCATGAGACGGAAGAATTTCCTACATATGAAAACCATGTAAGAAGGTGAGTGGCTCTCCCTAGCCTGTCCTGAGTCCTCCTGCAGTGTCCCAAAGAATGAGCACTTGTTCCTTTACAGTCCCCGTCCTGCTTTTTGAGCAACCGGAGGCCTGCCACTCCCATGTAGCTCATATAGCATAGAGTCCTGAGGAGACTGAAACACAATAAAAGAACAAAATGCGTCATGGGCCCCCAGGTCAAAGAGACGAGTTCCCTCAAGGGAAGCCTTGTAGGGGGAGGCAATAGAGCAGCCTGGGTGCTGGAAGATCTGAATCACATAGGCTTCCCAGCATTCCTCTCTCCCTCTACTGCTTCTCCCCCAGGTATGAACTCAGCCTCATTTCCATTTTTCCCTTCCCTTTCACATGTTACAGATTGTTTTTTAGTGCAATGGGATTTTAAAGAAATTTAGGCAGGGATGGGGGGGTGGGGGGTGGGAGCAGAGATTATACAGAAAACTACTGATAAACAAGTGACCTGTGCTGTACCAAAGACTATTTAAAATTAATTTCCAAATAAATACCTTCCTTTAGAATTCCCACCCAGAAAGCATGTATGATTCACAAACAGTAGTCACTGCTGCCACCACCCCATCCCCAGCTAAACTAAATGC